TAAATTATCGTGTGTTAATGGCCATGGTACGATTGCGCACGGTTGGTGTAAACCTCGAAGTAGGAATGGGTTAATTGAGGCTGGGCGCGGGAAGCGCTTACTGCGCAACCTCTGCTGCAGGCAACAAGTGATGCAATAGAACCCAGGTTTATGTTTAATAAAACCTACAAAATACTAATTAAGTAGAACACAGAGTTAGATGCTACAAATGCAATACGGATTTATACAGACGGCTCAAATACCAAAGAAGGCTCAGGATGTGGAGTGTACTCCAGGTCACTGAGCCTAAGGATTAGTTGGGGAATGGGAAGAAATACCAGCGTGGTCCAAACAGAACTGGCTGGTATCTCAATCGCCACAAAAGAAATAACCAAGAAAGGAATTTCTGGCAAAAACATCTGCACTGACAGCAGACAAGCCGTGTTAGCCTTGAACAAACAACAAGATTTAGCCAAAGCCTCGATGAATTAAAGGCCACGACAGGAATAAAGGTAATCGCATTACCAACTCTTTAGCCAAGGAAGCGGCTGGAGTAAGAATTTTAGGACCCAGTAGCACCTACGGCCTGATGACTTTGACAATTGCGGAACTAGTCAAATGTTACACCCATGGTCAATCCTTAAAGAGATGGGATGGAATCAAAGGATGTAATCTTGCCAGGATCCCCTTGGGAGACCCAGGAAAACCAGGAAAAATCTACGCCTAATAGTAGTGGCCAGTCAGTGGCCACTGACCTAGGAGGACAACTCCTCGGGAGGATGTACAATGGGTCACATGTGGCCTAAGTGCTGTGGGCTCACGCTCACCCTCCCTACTCTACAGATACAGATCTAAAAGAACAATTCCAGTCTCAAATTACCTACACTGTAGGACTGACACTTATCAGAAAACAACTTCTCCCGTGGCTAATACCACGAAGGGCATTCGATTATACCCGAAAGGTGTCAGTGCCTTATTCGATTTTCAATTACTGGAACACACTTGCAGACCAGTATCAGTCCATTAACCTACAGCTGATTTACAGCCAGTCTCCAACTGAAGTTTTCTTCTGTATACTAGGAATTGGGCAAATTTCATATATGCGGTTGGTTACCTCGTTCACAGGCAGATGGGGCAATGACAAACATGTTGTTCGCTTCAGCCCAGTTCGAGGAATGATGCTCTGAAGGAATTTCACTTTCAATTATCGAAAATCATCGACTTTATGTTGACGATAGACACTACCTTGCACTGACGAGTGGACAAGTGTGTTGAGGAGCCATTAGCATATTTGTTTAATTTGTGTATGGAGAAAGGCCCCTGGCAACAGCATTTAAGAAATCGATTGTCTAAAGTTATCGAGGAATCACTCAAAAAACTGACATCATACATCTCAAAATACAATTTGAAATATTTCTTATTAGTCAGTGGGCTATATTTGAAGACTGGCAGTAAACAAATCTAAAGAAATTAACTTTAAACGTTCAAGCCAGTCTCAGATATACCTACACAGTAGGTTGAATGGACTTACGCCTATTAGAAAACAACTACTCCCCTGGCTAATACCACGAAAGACGTTGTATTATATCCGAGTATATCCTGCACTGACGCATGTCGGATATAATCCATAACTGTAATTCCATTACCACAAAAATCACTTTTGCAGCATTCATATACTTACCTGGCTCCAAAAATATTCAATACTTTTCCCAATACAATAAAAAACAATAATATATTTCACCACTTTAAAGAGTCATTGAGGCAATTTATATGCAGACAGCCAAGACAAATGATTTCTGATTTAACAATCTTATACCACGTACACGCATCAACCATTGTATTAATTTATAGTTACACATTTAAATGCCTGTGTGGAAATGATTTATGAATATTTATTTTTAGATTTAGACAAGTCTGATACTCATTGGATTTTTTCATATTTCCGCAATTGTCAGTCAGTATGTTTGTTATTTATAAGTTTTATTGCATTGTATATATATAATAATTAGTGAAAGCTACACTGTGTCCGTTACCTCATTGCCTTTAATAATGTCCACAGCAGTAGTGGACGAAACGTCAGGTTCAAATACCTGTAGACCACGGTCAACAAACCTAAAAACTAGCTTCGACAAAAAGTTGAATAATTTGTCTGTAATTTCTTAGTCCCACTGGACTCCCACACAAAAAATCTGAAAGAAAATTACGAGAAATAACTACATATTATTAAAAGAATTTATTCAATGAAAATATATAGATTGATAGTTGTAGTCTTTGCAATTATTGTCAGTAAGAGCAAATCAAATATTGTCACAAAATTGACCTAAACCCTATTGAAGGCTGCACCTATCCTGCAATTTTCCTCGTTTTGCATACACCATTCTGGTTCTATAGCATCAGCATCTATACCCAAGTTGACCAGTCGTTCTCGATGAACTAAAAATCTGCCTTCTGCTTCTTCCCAACCAGTCTGGGGCTCAGACCAGAAGACTTCTCCCATCGCTGCTGCCCTGGGCCACAATCGACCATCAATTGAAGAGGAGTCGGCCTGCTCTGTCCACAGCGTTGCTTCTCCTCCAAGTATTTGATTTTTTCTTTCACCTGAAATGGGTGTTTTCTTTAGTTATGTGGTTTTGAGATTCACTGAAAAGAAGGTTCACAGAGTTTGTCGAATCAGTCATATTTTTTGCTGAGTTACTTTCGAAATAATGTGCAAAATAATTAATTTTAGATAAAGAATGTGTAGGTACCTCAGTTTCCTTGCCTTTATATAAATCATCCACAGCAGTTGTAGATGAAACATCAGACAGCTACTAACCGATTATAGGTTATTCTTCTCAGGACAAAATGTTGTTCATAGATTACATCCACGTATTAAGTGGGTTGGGCTACCTATCGAGCGCGTCCCCAGGTGGCGGCCTTGGGCCTAGAGGCCCTGTCCGGGAAGCCAATGTAGCCTTACGAACGGGGTTGCTGGACTCCTGGTCAGTGGCAGAAATGAGTAGGGTGAGGGGAACTGAAACCCCCCAAAAACCTTTGCAAATCATGCCACCGTGGAGCAGCCTACCCAAGCTGAGGTGTAAGGAATCGTGCCGACAGCTGAATGGCCGCAGGGTGATATGCAGCCACGAACGATCCCCTTGGGGAACTGGGGGAAACCTCATTGTAATCAGCCTATCTCTGGTAATGCGGGGCTTTGCCCGAGGTGACCAACTTTTCCCTTGCTACTCGTTAGAACACACATGAATGAAACAACAGAAACAAAAACCAATCACGAGGCTGCACAAAAAATCTCACCCCAATCTAAGGCGGTGGCTGGGGATGAACAGTACTGTCCACCCCAATTTACCGCTTGGAATGAGGCTGGACATAGCAGATCACCTCCAACAGCAAAGGCACTTCCTGTGGCGGGCGCCAAAAGCTCCGCTTTGAATGAAGGCAAGAAACCAGCTGTCCCAGCAGGAAAGCTCCTTCACTAGTGCACCTCCACGGAGGGAACCCCAAGAAGGTTGGAGAAGGCATGCAACGACAGTAATATCGCTGCACCTTCCAAAACCTTCATAAAGGAGTTTTCACCGAATTCATTTGGTAATATGACGTTCACAGAAATCCCTGTGATATCACATGATTTTACGTTGGTTACAAAAAGGCCAACGTAATATTATGTGATTTCACAAGATTATTTTTTGCAGTGTAATGTGCAAAATAATTTATTTTAGATAAAGAATGTGTAGGTACCTCAGTTTCCTTGCCTTTATATAAATCATTTACAGCAGTTGTAGATGAAACATCAGACAGCTAGTAACGGATTATGGGTTATTCTCCTCAGGACAAAATGTTGTTCATAGATTACATCCACGTATCCGGTGGGTTGGGCTACCTATCGAGCACGTCCCCAGGTGGCGGATAAAGGAACGGCCAGGGGACTGGAGGCCCTGTCCGGGAAGCCAATGTGGCCTTACGGACGGGGTCGCTGGACTCCTGGTCAGTGGCAGAAATGAGTAGGTTGAGGGGAACTGAAACCCCCCCAAAAACCTTTGCAAATCATGCCACCGTGGAGCAGCCTACCCAAGCTGAGGTGTAGGGAATCGTGTCGACAGCTGAATGGCCGCAGGGTGATATGCAGTCACGAACGATCCCCTTGGGGAACTGGGGGAAACCTCATTGTAATCAGCCTATCTCTGGTAATGCGGGGCTTTGCCAGAGGTGACCAACTTTTCCCTTGCTACTCGTTAGAACACACATGAATGAAACAACAGAAACAACAGAAACAAAAACCAATCCCGAGGCTGCACAAAAGTTATCACTCCAATCTAAGGCGGTAGCTGGGGATGAACAGTAATGTCCACCCCAATTTACCGATTGGAATGAGGCTGGACATAGCAGATCACCTCCAACAGCAAAGGCACTTCCTGTGGCGGGCGCCAAAAGCTCCGCTTTGAATGAAGACAAGAAACCAGCTGTCCCAGCAGGAAAGCTCCTTCACTAGTGCACCTCCACGGAGGGAACCCCAAGAAGGTTGGAGAAGGCACGCAACGACAGTAATATCGCTGCACCTTCCAAAACCTTCGCCGAGGCCAACGTGAGACACCTCAAGGTTGCCAAAGAGAGTGTGCGTTCAGCAAGTCTTGGCCTACACCTGCCAATATAAAGGAGATGTCTCCTAGTGACCTGTTCAGCTTCCTGGAAAGGACAGGATGGACGATGACCTAAGAGGACAACTCCTCGAGAGGATGTACAATGGGTCACATGTGGCCTAAGTGCGTGGGCTTACACTCACCCTTCCTACTCTACAGATACCAGATACATACACGTATATATTTATTACTTTTGTGTAATATTCGACACGAATAGGGGGTGACGTAAAGATTTTTATCTTAGCTCAATAACACACTCGCTAATTAGACGAGGGTCGATAATTTTTTAAACCAAAAAAAAAAATTACAGTAGAATGAAAACCATTAGAAAAGGAGGAGAATATGATAAAAATGAAAGAAGAAAAACACGGGCTATCTGAGTTCGGGAAGTGGGAGGGGGTGAGTTTTTAAGGGTCCTATGAAAAAAAGTTAAATATCATAGTTGTAGGTAATACAAAATCTACAACTTTTGTGTTCACAATTTCTTCATGTAACCTCAAAATTTATGTAAAAAATTCAAATAACCAAGTTTTTGTTTTTTTATTTTTATCTTTTTCACAAAACAATTTTTTTTAAGAAGTTTGGTGAAATCTTACCTTTTCATGTCCCAAATACACTGTAGTTCATTTGATTTGAAATATTCATTTTTTTCACCTTGACTCAATATCAAAAAAGCACCCTATTTTTCAATCGAAAATTCTCGCGTCAAAATATCAGCATTTTTCAAAAAGTCAGTGTGCTTTTCGTTCGTTGAAATCTCTGCTTTCTGATGAAGTAAAAAATGTACATTACTGTTAGAATCCAGTGTCACAGCTACAGCAAATAGTTTTGAGCAATACTTCCGGAATTAATTCCTTTTCTGTAAATTTGGGCATAATGCCTAGTTGATGTTGCTTCCAGCCCCTATCTGTTGCTGTCAGTTNAGAAACTTCGAGTCAACATTGCTGTGGAATGCCTGGGAATGAGCAAATTATGCCTATTACGAGAAGTGCCACTGTATGATAGTGGGTTTCTTCCCACTATTATTTTTTTCACTTTTTACCATTTCTGAAGGCTTCAGCCCTGGTATGAATGTGAAGTGCACTGATGAAATGATATGAAGCTAACAAAGAGCTACCATTTCTCCATGTTCTAGTTATAAGAAATATCAATAAGGGGTCAGGACTCAATATATGTAGCAGGGGGCCAACCTGAGAATCGCGAGCCACATGCGGCTCTTTCAACGATTATTCGTGGCTCTCAGTAAATGTACCCGAGTTTTCTTTTAATTTTTGTAGTAATATATTGAAAAAAGTTATTATCGTTCCGCTAATCGTCATGAAGTTGACGATCATTTGAACATAATTTATGAATCAACCCTATGATCATCAATTGACCGATATTTTGCAAAAACAATGTTAACCAGGTTGGCTGAGAACTTCTAAATGAGCAATAAATTACGGGTCAAAACGCGATCTAAGCACTTTTTTAAAAGTAGGAAAATTTTCTGATTCAATAGTCCACGAATAATGGTTCATAATGAAAGCATCATTACAATTTTCTCAATGAACTTGCTCAGAAGTAATCTTTGGAGTGTAATTACTAATACTTCACCTGCAACTACAGCTGGTTTGTTTTCATATACTTTTTGCCATCCAATATACGGAGAGCACCAGTTGTTTCCTTTATCGACCCATCCAGCAAATCCACAATCCAAATAAAGCGCGTCGTAATTGCTGAGAATCAGCTTGTAGTCGTTCTCTAGAAGATTCGTCACTTGTGGATCATCGCCCGTTGTCCAAATTTGAATAATATACGTATCATTAGGCAGAGAATTTAGAACATACTCCTTGTGGGTGAGATGACTAGTCCACATAATTACGGGGATTGGTTTTCCTGTTTTCTTGAACAGTCTTTCAAGTGCGTTGGTCTGGAAATGGTTCCAGAGTTTTATGAAGTCCTCTTCGGTATTTCCCCAACCTTTAGATGACATCCACTCCATTATTTTTGAGCTTTGGTTCCAGCAAGTGAAGCTTACCTCATCACCACCCATGTGAAAAATATCCGGCTGGAACTGGTCGATCATATCACCATAAATACCTATAAAAAATAAATATATTTAGCCACTTTTTATGTCAGGTTATGTCAATTCAAAGGTAAAGAAATTTATCCAGTCTTTGAAACAATATATTTCAACTGGTTGAGGATGGAGGCTCGTGGTGGCCGTGGTAGTGGACGGACATGCTGATAACGTCCGTCTACAAAGAAGATACGCGGATGCCATGTGCTATCGTGGGGCTCCGTTTTGTGTTGTGTTGTGCTAGTCCTTGGTAATAAATACTGAAATGTGAGTTTTTAAAAAGTGGAGGTATCCAGGCCGTTGTGGTTCGAATAACCACGTAAAGAGACCATATATGTGAATTCAAAAATCAAAAGGTCTCCCGAAGAGAATGCGACCCAATAAATATATGTAAAAAATCAAAAGGTCTTCTGGGCAAGAGGCGACAGTAAAAAAGCACATTGTTTTTTATTACAAAAAGTGTGACAAAAAGCATTGCTTCGAGCAAGACCGCTGCCCTCCCCTCCCACCGACGAAGCTTCTGTCAAATTGATGTCAATTTGATAGGAGGAGCCTGAACAAACGCGGCTGAGTGGGAAGCAACGTCCATAAAATTAGAGAGAGAGAGAGAGAGAGAGGTTGAGGATTATATAAAAATATAGGCTTTCACGGCCGGAATCACGATTAGAGAGGACAAAATCAGGGCTAATGTTCAAGTTATTATGGCCTTTGGAATATGTAGAAGAGTGATGAGTCCTTTGAATATGCAAACTATAAAGAAGGAAAATAATCACATACAATTACACTGGAAGTTTTCAGTCATCTTGCTTTTGTCTGGATATGTGAAATTGCCAAATAGAAGAATGTATTTGAAAAACTCGCCAAACACTTACAAAAAAGGCCAGGTATCGCAATAGATGTTTATACATTTTTAATATTATTCACATTTCAGTAACAATAAAACCATGAATCCAGGAGTAAATTATATGTCTTTGAAATTTCAACCGTATTCTGATCTGTTACCTACAATATGGTCTTTGGATGAAGCCAAGGAACCGTATTATGGACGTCAACTTCAAGCAATTCATAAGGAGGAAACAAGTATTGGTGCTTGAACAATCCAAATCCATTAGGTTTGAGTTTTATGAAGGAAAAAGGCAGAGAACACCAAACATTTATTTGGGAAGTTCGGTGACAAAAAGAATGACTTAAGGATATGTTCCTGGGGAAAACGAATATTTATGAGGATCTATTTCAATTCTTTGCACTTGCTTGAAGAAATGAAAGCACAAAATATTATAGTTACGGTAACAATCCGAGCGGATCGTATACAGAAAGCCCCTTTGAAGGATTTAAAAAAGAAACATCTAGGATCTGCTAATGAACTTCTAGATGAAAGCACCAATATTGCTTTGCTCCGCTGGCATGATAATAACCAAGTTACATTAACAACTAATGGAACTGATGAACTTGTCAATAGAACCTCGCATAAAGGCAAATTGATTTTATTAGACAAATTGTACTACCAAAATTCTCCATACCAAGGCTGCGGATTCTTATGGCAAAGAACCACTAGTGTGCTTGAAGAAGTGCGGTTTGATCGCATCACTGGCCAATAAAAAATAAATGTCATAAGTGTGATTATGATAAAGTATCAATGAAAATGTGTTTTTGGTTTTGAGCTATGTTGTCGAATAACGCTAGAAAAAAATTATAACGAAAATTCCGATTTTCAGTTGTTTCAAAACAGTATTTTGTTGAGCAAATAAAACGCAAATTTGCCCTAATTCAAGCTTCGACGTATGTCCGGTAGATTGGGAGTTCCAAAGGCTGCTGGATTGCATCAAGAAAAATGTCATCCGCCTGATTGGAGACGCGAACGTTACTTGCAACCTTGATAGTCTGGAATATCGAAGGCACCGCTCCTAGAGCGGCTCAAGGATTTTCCTGTAGTGCTTGTGTTTTGTCCTTGAAAAAATATAGATTAGATACCATTACACTGTCATGTAGTGACTCAATGAAATATCTTGATGTGTGTTTTTAATAAAATTTGTATTTTTCCAACCATATTAGATCAAAAGCAACTGAAGTTTCGAGAGCTTATGACTCTATAGTTCGCAGTTGTAGATCATTTTCGAATATATCTGCTCTTACCACCCTTTATTTAACTCAACAGTTGGCCTGAAAACTTCGTAGGCTAACAGAAAAACATGTTTTAATAAAATTTTATTTCATCATTCATTATAGTTGCCTTCAACACAACGAATATACCGGTTCTATACTACAGATTAATAGTCCGACAGCTGTGAAATTTGAACACGTGTCTATCAAAGGTTGAGGTTTGAATAATACAACCAGTAGGCTCTCTTACCACGTGATCCGCCCGAGTTGCCGGGGACCTTCAACCGCTCTCAGGATGAGATCCTCATCCAATGCATTCAGTGCTGTAGTATCGAAGGATTCGACGGTACCACGGGCATCGGATTAGTTATAATAAACGGTCGGAAATAGATACTGTGTTCAGTTTATTCGCTGTTGTTATTATTGTTTTTGGTTTTTGTTGTTGGTTATAAATAACTTACCACAAAATCTTCTATAATATCCTCAAATTTCGTTTTTATATGAATGTAATAATCGATCTTGTGTTGCCATACAGATTATAATTTTGTTTGTTTTTAATTTAAAAATTTTTCCCAATCCTAACCAGGCAGAACGTTGGCACTCCTCCTATTATCACCAGCTTTATCAATCATATTTGTTCGTTCATAACATCAATTGAGATAAGAAAATCATATTAAGCATCCATGTGGCTCTATTATAACAGATCGATCGATTTCCCAACAAGATTAAGTTCAATCCCATCATTTACCAGAACTAATCTCTCTTCTAATAAGCTTTCTCACTCGTTTGTTTGTTTTATTTTCAATCAGTATAGCCCTGATTTTATGGGGTACTCGTATGTGAAAACAAATGACGATAGAGGTTACTCAGGTGTCAAAGATATAATCGATGGTGGCCTTGCATGAGAGGTTTCTCGATTGGGAGTAGTTGGAGTGATGACTGGAGTATCATATTTCTTTCAAAAAATGTTTGGCCAAATCACGTTTTGTTCTGGATATGAATATGTTTCAATAAATATGTACTAGCTATTGGCCGCGACTTAGTTTTTGGGTTTTCCCATATTTTTAACAAAACCGTGTTATAAATCTACTTATCATTTTACAAACTACATATAATACTCATAGGCGAGACAAAATTAAGAAATGTACAGCGATGAGTAAAAAAACTTAATGTGGAATACAGGAAACTGCAAAGAGTAGAAATATCTGAAGGAGCTTGCAGACGATATAGTGATCATAGTAGATAGTGAAGTGATAACCCGAAAACTAAACTGAAAGTATTCAAATCCATATACCGACCAGTGTTAACACACAGCTGTGAATCATGGATACTCACAGAAAAGCAAAGAGTAGAATCCAGACGAGTAAAAGTAATTACGAAGAATAAGAAAAAGGATGGTCCAAGGAAAACATGGGATAAGACAATACGACACATACAGGAAAGAGAAATAACATGGGCAGAAGCGAAGCATTTAAGTACTAACAGAAAAGACTGAAAATTATTTTGTAAAAATAGTTGTTAAGAAAGGTGTTAATTTGTGTTTGATATAACTCACCCTACACTATTGTATGGTAGAATGGTGCTTGATTATATATTAGATTGAGGTCAATATGGAAGTGATCAGAATAGTACTATCCTGAAATGGCAACGAAAAACGAATCCACGTGTCTCTAGAAATGATATGAATTCGAGAAAGGTTAATGCAGTCAAGCTACTGGAAAATAATTCCATGAAAATCAAAAGATAAATAGATAAGTCCTATTCTGATCATTCCCATATTGATTTCAATTTAAGAGCCACCGGTAGACAGCTGTTTCAGCCTATTGGGCATCGTCAGTACCGGGCAAGCGATCCTCGATTGACTTGATAAAAGTAACTGCGTAAACGCAAGCGAGACATATGTGGAACCACCTATTTGAGACATATATGAGACATATTTATGACGTTTTACCAAATAGTTCAATGGTGAAAAAACAGAATTCATAACATCCAATTACGAACGGGAAATAAATTATAAATCATTTTTATGATCATCTCATTAAGAAAATAATCATCTAAAACTATTTTGGTCTTTTTACAGTCCACCAAAACCATCATATGCCCGATATTTTGCAGGGTTATTCATTCAAATTTTTTGAATTAGTATAGTCGCATGAAATATTATTTGTGTTTTGTTTGTTATTTAACCACATCAATAGTTTCTCGATCATCAAGACGCCCAGGAATTTCTTCGATATATTTTAAAAGGTTCATAAACAACACCTCACGATTTGATATCTACCAACTTTTTCTGAAAAATATATGTGGATCTTCATCAAGTAACGGCCGAATCAATCAGAAAAAAAATCATTTAGAGGGTTTACATGAGAACATCAATGGAATTATATGGAAACATAAACCGATCTTAACGGAGATTGACGACAAATTGAGCGACAGAGGAAAAGCGCTGAGATTTTTAAACATGACCAACTCTAAGATTGTAGACAATTTTGTTGGTCAATTAAAATCCACTATGCACACACTGTGGACACTCATTAGTAACCTTGGATCATATCTGGGATTGGTCTCTCCCTATACCAGAAAGAACTGTCCAATTGAGTTTGTCACAATGCTTGGATGTCTTCACAAGAGAGGAAACTCTGGATGGAGATGAAAAACCAACTTGTCCGGGGTTCAAGGAAAGAAGAAAATGCCGAATGTTCCTATCAATCCCCATATTTTAGTAATTCATTTAGAAAGATTCTCTCCAACGAAAAGATTCAGAGGCAAATTGAATGTTGCCATTGACTTTCCTTCAGAAGGATTAGATATGAGCAATTATGCAACAGACAATGTTGCTCCTTGTCGTTATAATCTATATACAATTTCGAATCACAGTGGGACTACACAGCATATTGCAAATACCCTTATAGTGGCACGTGGCATGAGTACAACGATTCACACGTGTGCCCAATTTCACCGAGATATTTTGTGAGTAAGTAGGCATATGTCCTCTTTTATGAACAGGAGGAAACGAAGCAGCACTTTTGAGGCGTTTTATTTTTCTCTTTCTATGAGCTAAATTCTGTTAATTGATTTGTATTTCATTATAAAACATACTTGAAATTGAAGCAAAAAAAAATACATTTCTTACCTTCCAACACATCATACAGTTTATCCTGAGTAGGATCAAACTGCCCGCAAGGTGGTTCGACGCAGAAACTCTGCCAAGGCTGATAGTTGAAGCACGTCAGAAAACCAGTATCTTGCCATCCTTCTCCAACATGAGCAGGGGCATCGAATTCAGGCAAGACTCGAACGCCACGTATCAGTCCATACTCGATAATGTCTTTGATATCGCCATCGGTATATATTTTGCTGGGAGTATACGCTCCATACTTTGTGAGGTTAGGGTACGACTTGGAAACGTAGGGAAAACTATGAGAGTCCGTGATGTGCCAGTGGAACGTATTGAGTTTTGAGGCGCCCATGGCTTTGAGGGTTTTTTTGATGACTTTGACTGAAACATAGTTCCTGGATGTGTCAAGAAGAATTCCTCTGTATGGGTAAGCCGGCCTATCCGTGATCAGAACGTCCCTGAAAGCATGATGGAATGAAATGTAATCCACTTAGGTATATATTAAGTTATTTCAAAAGTTTTATCCGTTTTAATGTCATGTGTATTTGTAGCTCCATATCTCAATAAATATTCATTCTACTGTATGGGGATGTATACTGATTGATATAGAATTTTGTACTCTATAACTTGATGCTGTTGATTTTTTTCCTAATATCAATGTTTTGCCCCTTTTCAGCTTATGACTCTTATGGCACTTTCGTCATTTCTAATATTCTGAACATGAAGCTCGGTATTTGACGTTGGTTAGATTGAGTTTTTCCAAATTCTAACCTCAAGGAGGCTGGACCTTCTTATGGCATTAGATGTAAAAGTGAAATATCTGGCGTAGAATAAATCCGAAAACAACAATACGGTGTTGCACTTCGTGAATTATGAAGCCAAGCTCTCTTCCAGTAGAGATCTTTTCATCTCTAAAGTCTATCCAAATCCAAGATAGAGTAAAACAAAACAAAACAAAACCGAAGCGTGATGTTCACGTGATCGCCCAGTGTCAGATGGAAAGAGCAGCGTTCATTGGTGAATTCGCCTTCTTGGTACGAGTTCGGTACCAGCACAGGTTTGTAATCAGTCGTTTTGCGTGTTTGTGTGGCGTGCGTTATAGTATATTGTTTAAACTCCAAATTCATATTGCCTTTGAGAAAGCGACTTACTTTGGATCGAAAACGCTATAGATGAATACCTATAATTCATGTGGAAAAACTGTTTTGAGAACTTTTATTCCACAAGGTCGCCGTTCTCCAAAAAAAAGAGTTCTTGAAAAGTGTAGTTCAAGGTTTGTTAACATGACTACAGCTCTTTTTTGATGGGTACTGCGAACATTTAATTGTTTCCTCCATTCAAATAAATTCATACTTTTTGCCAATGATAGATACAACACTCATTTGCTAAAATTTCATTACGTGATTCAAAAATTCGCTGGATGCCAAACTTTATAATACACTACACGAAATTTAGAAGAACTCAAGTAAACAGACTTTGAAAGCCGAAGTGAAGATGATTTCTGCTAAATAACTGCTTCTACTATTGAGGCATTGTAACAACAATATCCTCATGGTCTTACGTCGTGTCTTACGTCACACACCATCTCTTAAATATTAAGTGGTTGTTCATGTATATTGATACAGATTTTTATGCTTGATTTCGTTAAATATTCCACATTCTTGTTTTTTCCCCAATGGTGTGTCTTTTGAATTATGTTTTAAGAGTATTTGAAAAAATACCTTTCAGTTTTATGTTTTATACGTCTTCAGCTCTCGTTCTATTTTCCAGGTTATCAAGATTGTTTGAGATATTTGAGTCTCCAATCAACTGGATGATTCTTTTTTGGTAGAATCTAGCACCCTCAGGACCCGCTTAAGGGTAATGCTCCACATTTATGAGCAACATTCTAAAAAAAATCAATATGAGATTTATAAAAAATGAAGAGTTGCTACGGGGTCTCTGGAACAGCACCACATAGGGTATATCGAATATTTTGTAGCCAGCTGCAGATCGAACTATATTGGACCAAGAAAGGAATTGTTAGAACACCAGAAAAATAATTGCCTTCAGCACTTCAATGAATCAGCAGTACCTAAACATGTAGTCAGAAAAATCATTCTTGTCATCACGTTCAAAGCGGTTGACAAAACTCAAAGCTACTATCTAAGAAAGCGCTGTTGTTCTTGAAATGAATTGACCACTAAGAGCTAGATTTCCGACCTGTTTTTGGGAATCAAAGATATGAGAATGGTTCCACTGGTTGAATTGACGGAAATGACGACAAAAGGGTAGTTCGCAGAGAACAGTCCAAATCCAGAACTGACATTAATTATACAGAACAAATACTCAACTTACCTTGGAATTTGCAACTCGTCTCTCAAATCGTCGTATATTATCAACTGGGTGAGTGTTTGGAGACCGTGTCGAGCTCCAAAGAAAGTAGTAGCTGTGATGAGCACTTGAATCCGCCCATCCGATAATTCGCTTATGTTCAAAGTATAGCTCTCGTCTGTGTCCAAAGTTAATCGTGACACTGAAGGCTTCTTGATATCGACGTTGACTATCACTGATTTACCACCTGCTTTGATGTTTCCTCTCACCGAGGCCTGCAATATGAATTAATAGAAAGATAATATTCTCTTATAATCCAAATGTTAAAACATTAGTAGTACCGACCTAAGTAATGGAGCTCATCAGGACCAGAAGACACCTGTAGAGAGGATACCAACAGGCACTTGCCCCAACGGACAAAAGATGCTTGCACAGAGCCAGCAAAGTTCTGTGGCAAAAGCTGCATGTACTTCGAGGCCAACGATGGACAACCCGTCTGGCAGAATCAACACCGAAGACCAGTCTATATAGAATATGCAGAGCGTCCTAAGCAAGAACCACCAAAAACCAGGCCCACCAATACACGGTAAGCATTGTATCGTCTACATCGATCAAGAGACAATTTCGAAAAATAGAATAGAGAAAATTAGGTTTCCATTACAGACGAGGTGGAAAACGGTCGAATAGAGGGTGTGCAGAATGGTGCGAAGGGACGATGCTCAACCCCTGAATCCCACATCCCCCGAGGAAGTCAGAGGCATCGTAAGAGGCCTTGCTAACCGGAGATTCCTAGGTCCGGATCAAATCCCAAACTGGGAGCTGAAAGCCCTACCCGGGAAGTGTAGAGCGGCAATAACGAACATCACCAAGACTATACTCCGACTGTAACATGTCCCTTACCCAATCAAGGAGACCCCGGTCAATATGATCCCGAAGCTCAACAAGAATACCACTTTCCCCAAAATCATTGCCCGATAAGCTTGACCCCATCGATGATCAAGGTGACAGAACGCGTCATACTGAAAAGACTTGAGTTCAACACCAACGAACTAAGAATCCTAGTGGATGAACAGGTCTGTTTCCGGTCAATACTCCGGTCAATACTCTAAGGAGACAAGAAACTAACGTCACATCTCATATCCACTAGAGGTTAGGGCTGACGAGAGCCGCTAGTCATAAACTCTACCCATCAACACCAAAATATCCTGCAGATTTCAATATTCATATCAACTTAAAAAACGTAAGTAACACCCTGTCACTCTATACTTGTTCTTATATTTGGAATGGGTATAGAATCGACCATAACTGGCTGGATCTATACCATGCTAGTAAACAGAACTGCAACTACGACTCTTCAAGGCGAGGATATCAGGTTCAGGGTCACCAGGGGCTGCCCTCAAGGTGGGATACTATCTCCCCTTCTGTGGTCGCTCCTGGTGGATAGTCTGCTTGATCCCTCGACAGAAAAGTTGCAAGCTTATGCAGATGACCTTGTCATCCTGGAAAGGTCCTGGCAAGGTCCACGTCGGGAAAGGTAGCTTGTAATATCCTCCAAAGCGCGTTGAACGTTGTTCACAGTTGGTGCCTGAGGAAGCAGATGTCTGTCAACCTCAGCAAAACTGTGTTAATCCCCTTCACCAAGAGAAGGAAATTGGACGATCTAACGCCACTTTCACTTGTGCACATTGCCAATTGCACAAATTAATTCGATGCAGAGTGCAACAGACTGTTGGTTGACATTGGAAGTCACAGCATTCTGGAAATGACCTCTGACTTTATGCCTCCAACTGTCAACTACTAACTGCCTTATAAAGTACTGTTTCCGAGTAGAGAGGACTGGATCCTGCTGGAGAAGGAGATATTAAGAGCAGATAGTTGTTGGTTCACAGACACCTTTCGGTTCTGGTGCAGTTGTTTTCAGTCGCAGACCCAGGACATGTGAATAGGTGTGAGCCACAATAAACCCTTATGGGTTGCGGTGGAGGGTCGAATAGAGCCACTCACTTCAGACCTACCTACCTACCTATATCTGGAAAAATCACAAATTACTTTGGATATCGTAGATATACTGGACTATTCCTTGATCTGTTTGCCGTTAGAATGTTGAAAACATTCTGGTCAAATCCTTCTTTCAGTTAACCAGCTATCGCCCCCTATGAACACTAACCCTCAAAAGGATTAACGAGGTCTTACATTTTAACGTGCAATGAATTAGGTTGATTGGAACCTGGGTTTCCAAAAACCCATGCCAAACAAATAATATATCTATAACTAGAGAATCGGATGTAGCATCTTAATAACAAGCGTGAACTCATTGGTATCAGAAAAAAGATACAACTCAAGTTGTACAACTCAGATAATTGAAATATATGAGAAACGAAACAGGTCAAAATATTGATCATTGCGGTACCCTTTTTTTAACTGATTATGTCGCCAATATGGACATATCGCTTCATTTTCAACAAATGATTTCGAAACCAATTATAAATTAAACGTCAGATACCAATGTTATGCATTATCATCAGAAAAATTTTATGGTCCACGGTATCAAATGCTTTCCTTAGGTCTAATCAAAAACCTCCACATTTCTTGTTCGAATTTAAATCTAGCTGGAATTGGGTTAAGGCATCTAATAAACTATTTTTTCGAAATTCGTATCGCCATCAGATCTGCAACAATCAAGCATTCAGCAAACCAGTATATTTACCTCAATGTCTTTCTGGAACTCCTTCGCAGCAGATCGAAGCAAGGCAGATGCTGGAGCTTCAGTTGAAACTGGAACCACATCTATGCTATTGATATTGATTTTCGCTAAGACATTTCCGATGGAAACGTCTCCTGTTGCTTTGGGCCATATTCCTGCTGAATCTGAAGAAAATAATCGACAAGCGGCTAAGCTGAGAGCAGAGTCTTCTGTTTCCGCAGTGATTAATTTTTTCTGGCAAGCGTTTTTTTCACTCTCCCATCGCCAGACAGAATTGAGTCCACTGCAAAAAAATTTAGTCACGTGTTATGCTTATTTTAGGCAATGGGACAGTTCGAAAAAAATATGACATGACATTTAACGTAAATTTTGGTGACATTCATCTTAGAGGGGACTTTTTCAATGACTAGGCGTTGAAAATGATTTTTTATGGCCTAAAATTAAACAATAACTTGAAAGGGTATATTTTTGGGAGAGATTCTTTTTTTGGAAACAACGATTTTGGCTTGAAGAAGTAAAAAGCCAAAACCTCTTTAAAAAAATAACGTTATCTTCTTTTTTTGAAATCTTGATCTGCATAAACACAAATCAAAAAATTTTTCTAATGAATGAACTTCGAAACAAAGTTACTTGTAAGTACAGGGTGAGTCAACAATTTTCAATTTTTTTTTTGCAGTTATATCGATAAATACTATCTTTCAAATTATTTTCTCGCATACTGGGTGATTCAGCCGAACGTGGACAACCAAAGTTTCATTTTTGAAATAGAATACCCAGTATATGAATACGTCATTCACTTCCATATTTTTTTAGCTTTTTTGTTTTGGAATTTCCATTGCGGCATTGCCAAGTTACTCCAGAAAAACCTATTTTGCAGACAATTTTTTAATTCATCACCAGCATGTCTACAGCAATTGAGTGGATTTTTTTACTGGAAGTTATTCAACATCACTATGATAATTTGTGGAATCTCAACTTCGGAAACAATATATAGGGTGCTCGGTAAAACCGGTCAAGTTTCATTCATTTTCAAACAGACATGATTCAACTTTTTCAATAGAACACCCTGTTCTAGTAATTGTTGTAGCCACAAAAAATGTTTTTTCTTACGTTCACTTACCCAAATTTGTTTTTCGAATATTCAAACTAATCGCTAATACATTAGCATTTTTCATAGCATCTAGTGATAGTTATCAGCGGTTTCAACGGTTTTTTTCAATTGATTTTTTCTTTAAAAACCCAGTTATCCATGACTGACATGGATAACTGGGTTCCGAGATTACGGAATCTGTCAATAACGCCATTGTTGAAGGTTTCTTCCGCGTGTAGATTGAATAATTTTCATTATGAATTATGTATTGGGAGATATGGTGCAAATTGTCTATGCTTTGGGGGAAAGTGACGGAAACTGCCTCCTTGAATGTAGGATTTACAAAAAGAAGTTCTCCGAAAGAAAACAACCAGTTGAAAAGGCATTTTGGGCTCCAAAACCAAGAGATTTTGAAAAAAATGTTCAATTTTGCCGAGCGGGCTTAGAAAAGATCAATCAGGAAAGTGATTTTTTCGATTTTGTGTTATTTTCTGATGAAGCGACTTTCCATAAAAATGGAATCATGAATCGGCATAACATGCATTATTATGCAACGAAAAACCCCCATTTTGTTCGTTGCCTGAAACATCAACAGCGTTGGTCACTGAATGTTTGGGGTGGAATTCTCAGAAAAAGAGTTAACGGTCTGTATTTTCTGGATGAGCATCTCACCATATGTTCCATATGAAACAAGACTTAGAATGTGGCTACAACAAGATCACCACATTTTAAAACGATAATTTCAATAAAAAATGGATAGGTAGGAGTGAGCCTGTGGCGTGGCCACCTAGATCACCTGACCTGACCAAAATGGATTTTTAATGGAGGTATATCAAATGGATTGTATAGCAAACTCCTCCAACATCTAGAGAAGGCATGAAACAAACAATCACTAGAGCTTTCAGGGAAATCCCAGAGGATATGCTGGAACGTGTAGAATTAATTCATTTAAAAAAAGACTGATATGATGTGTTGCAGAAAAGGGTCGCCATTTTGAACACCTTTTGGACTCCTTTCTCTATTGAATAGAAAATTTAGTCGCTATTGTTCATATTGAAAAAATTTAAGTGAACGTAAATAAAGGAATTTTTTGTGGTTACAACAAATAATAAAACTAGGTATAATTTGTAAATTATCAGATTTGCGTATAGTATACCTCTGATAAAAAATGTTGAAACATTTCATACAAATGAAAAAATCAGACTGTTCTATTTGCAAAAGTTGAATTATGTCTGTTTGAAAATGATTGAAACTTGACTGGTTTCACCAAGCATCATATGTATTGCTTCCAAAAGTTCAGATTCCAGAAATTATTACGCTGATGTTGACTAACTATTCCTAAGAAAATTCACTTAATTGCTATAGACATGCGGGTGGTGGATTAAAAAAACATTGTCTGCGAAATAGTTTTTTTCTGGAATAACTTGGCAATGCCGCAATGGAAATTCGAAAACACAAATTCCTTAGATAGCTAAAAAAAAATATGGATTCGGATAACGTATTCATATACTAAGTGTTCCATTCAAAATAATATAACTTTCGTTGGCCACGCTCGGCTGAATCACCCAGTATGCGAGAAAGCGAGAAAATAATGTCAAGAGATATTATTTTTCTATATGACTGCAAAAAAAATTGAGCAACTCGAAAAATTGTTTTCCCTGATAGCAATGTACCGAGTGAATCTTGTTGAGTTGACTCATCCTGTATGATGTAGCGGAAAATATAATTGAAGACAGATACTTATGTAAAGAACCACAAAATTCAGGATTTTATCATAATTTCAACTTAACATCAATAATCAAATCAAAACACAGAATCATAATAATGATTGTTGTGGATATTTATAGAAATATTTCTTCTCTATATGGCACAATAGGGATAATGCCGTTCTGCATGAGATCATCTCTGCAGACATCAAAAAAATTAAATAATGGTGAGACTGTAATAAGTTATCCTTCGATATCAATGAAACCAGAATTCTTACTTTTCGCTGCACCTTACCTGAGATCTGCCTTGGTAATGAAATCTTAGGAAGAATACATACTTATAAATTTTTTGGGCTAAATATAGATGATAAATTGACGTTCAAGGACCATACAATAAACTTGAGCAAGAAGCTTGCCTCAGTCTACTACGCGTCTGCTCTACAAAACTAGGCTATGCCCATTCAAGAACAGCCTATTTTGCTCTCATAGATTCCCATATCAGATACGGAATTGCTTCTGGGTAGGAAATCTAGGTATACAATAGATTCAGAAATGAGGTCAAAATACCTCTGGTTGACGGGGTTTATTACCATAGTATAAAGGTCTTATTATGTTTATACTATGCTATTACACAATTCAGGAGTTTTTAATACTTTTGTCTCTTGA